AATAGCTGAGGATGGTAGTTCTAGAGAAAGGAGAGAAGGGTTCAAGAAGGAAGCCCTGGGGGTTATGTATAGAGAAAGAACTGTCAGGAGAAAAGAGTCACAGAAAAGAAGACTGAAGGAGTGCCCAACTCAAGGTACAGAAATTTGTTATTTTTCTCTACAAGCCTGATATAACTCCCATATTCCCCATCCAAGACAGAAATGATGTCATCAAAAGCACATCTGGAGCCAAATGGAGTCAGTTCTTGTTTGTACATTAGTATGTATATTTTCCTTATCTAACCTTTATTCTTTTTCAGTGTTTTGATTCTAAGTTCACATGCTGTGTCTTATCTGGAATAAGTAATGTTCCTAGAAGTAAGAGGTGCCTTAATATCTTCATGGTAGATTTTAATTGTGCTTTTGTCCTAGCAGAATAAGCACCATTGGGAAGGGGTCTCGTGAGAAAAATGAATGAAGCATTTTATGATTAATTAGCCCTGCCTAGACTATTGACAGATGAGAGGGACTTTTTTTTTTTTATTGGTGTGTGTATCCAGAAGTTTGCATGGGAAAACTGTATCTAACATAAATGAAAATTTTCTTTGTCAAATGTCTCTTTGTTAAAAAAAAAAAAAACTGCTTTAGTAGTTTATCAGTAGTATTTATTTGGTATCTGATATTTGTACATTGTTTTCCTTGATACCTTGCGGGGGGGGGAAAGGAACCATTTTACTTTTACAAAGGACTCTTTACTGTCTTTTAAAATAGTGAATATAATCTGATGTTTTATTTTTAAGACTCAGGACTATCATTTTATTGGTGTACTTCGGTCTCTCGGACTGTAGGTTTACTGTTATGTTTTTGACTTAACAGCAGTTTTTTTTTCCCGTGGATGTTCATGAATGGGAGAAATAGAAAAGTAGATATGTTGGAGGAGGTGCTGGCCTGCTGTTCACCTGGCCCACAGGAGGGTGGCCTCCCAGCTCCAGGAGGGCCATAGAGGTGGGCTAGGGTAGGGAGGGGGAGGGAATGCAGAGCCTCTGCCTTTGTGGTTGGAGAGTCTTTACCTCTTGTTTCCTGGGTATTCTTAGATGTGAATCCCAGTGGAGCAGCCTGATAGACAAGCCACCCTGGGTACCTGAGGAGGATCAGCTGCTCCTCTACCTGTAGAAATAGGAGTGGACCATTGGTTGAAGGAGAGAGTTGTGCTCTTTGTTTCTCTGGCAATAAACTGGTCTTTGGAGATCACTGTAAAATTATAATGGATAAAAAATTGGACAGGTGTCACTTGAAGATACCAGCACAAATGGAACAGTAATTAACACGCTGGAGGTTGTTAAGCTTACTTGCCCTTTTCCTGGAAATGTCTACTTTGGTGTACATTGGAATACAGTGGGGCATACCTCTGTGATTCTTTACATGAAAAGCAAGACATAACATAAGAATCTTTTGAAGCTGATAAAGAAAATGTATTCCATAAGAACAAAGATAATCTCGGGGCTGGGCAAGGTCATGATCCCCAGATCCTGCCATATTGACTGCCACTAGGTGGGTTTGAGGAACCACAATCATTGACATTGATGTTGGACCTCTTCAAGACAGTGTCTACCTCTTTCATAGAGTCTTCTGCAGAGCATTTCTCCAGTTTTAGATCTTGGGGTGTGAGTATCCCCTATGAAAGCCTTGCAGAGATTGGGCTGCTCCATTGGGAGGAAATGAAAGGAGGGGCGGGCACCTGGGTGGCTCAGTCAGTTAAGCATCTACCTTTTGCTTAGTTCGTGATCCCCGGGTCCTGGGATTGAACCCTACATCAGGCTCCCTGCTCAGTGGGGAGTCTTATTTCTCCATCTCTCTCTGCCCCCCCCCCGCTCTGTCTCTCACTCTCTCTAATAAGTAAATAGTGGTTTTTTTTTTTTTTAAATGAAAGGAGATGGGGAGGCTAATCTGAACTTGCAGTTGATTGTTTCATACCAGTGTGGAAACACCCAAAGATTAAGCATGGGTATCAGAGCTGCAGCCATGATGCTCCTGTGCATCATCTGTCAGGAGTTGCTGCACAGCTACATGAGATTGCAGCCCAGGAGTGTTTTTTTTTTTTTTAATCAATTTGTGGTTATGTTTTATTTTTTTTTTAAGATTTTATTTATTTATTTGAGAGAGAGAGAGAATGAGAGATAGAGAGCACGAGAGGGAAGAGGGTCAGAGGGAGAAGCAGACTCCCCGCCGAGCAGGGAGCCTGATGCGGGACTCGATCCCGGGACTCCAGGATCATGACCCGAGCCGAAGGCAGTTGCTCAACCCACTGAGCCACCCAGGCGCCCCCAGGAGTGTTTTTATTGTCTGATTATAGAATCATTGAAAACACCATGTGTTAATGTGGCCTGGGCATTTTCCCCAAGTTGACATACCAGTATTGGCGAACATTCCTACTTAACAGTTGCCAGTAGCTTTAACATCCTATCCTGATTTGTGTTGGGGCCACAACTGCTGTGGCCCCAACACAAATCTCAGTGAGATTCAGTCATATTGAACAGATGTTAAAGACCTAAGTGTGAGGGAAGGCACCAAGATGGCTTCAGAGTATTGGAGGTCATTGACAGGGTGTTTCAAGAACTACTCGGTCTAAACATCTTAAGGTCATTTTTATAGTGCCCCTCTCAAGGGAAACTGGGGAGACATTAGGTACTCTGGTGTGACTTTTCTTATGTGGAGCTTTTCCTTTGAGTGAGACTTTTCAGTGACCACATCTTCAATTCATATCTAGCCTAAGGCTTAAGAGGGTATGTTCTTTTTTTAAGAGGTCATGTTCTTGACCACAGCTCTGGAACAAGAACACAAGGGGTCAGGAAGCTCTGGGCACCAAGCAATCCCTTTGCTGATTACTTTGGGTCTTGGCCTGATGCATCACCACATCTGAGAGCTCTTCCCTTGCTTTTCTACAGCTACAGGTCACACTCGTGTGTATCTCCCATGTTATTTTATTCCTTCCCTGCTTTCCTGTGATTGATGCCTTGAGACCCTGGGTTGTGGGGCAGGTGGGTGAGTGTGGCAGGCAAGGCAGGCTAAGGTTTGGGGTGGGGGCTGTGTGTATGTGTGTGGTGGTGCATCTGGTTCATGATGTTCTAGTCTTACCGTGTGCATCTATGGAGCAGACCCTTCTGACTGAGACCCTGGAGAGTGTGTGAATGGTGCATGAGGGACCATTTCCAGCTGTGATGCTGGAAGCCGCCCATCTGTATGGCCATTGCTTCCTCTAGTTCTTACCCTTGTCCTTTTTTCTGTGTTAGGTTTGCTAGGTCATCTGGGGGGATATTAGGAACTTTTTTTAAAGTAGGCTCCATGCCCAACGTGAGGCTAGAACTCAGGATCCTGAGATAAGAGTTAAAATGCTGTACCGACTGAGCCAGCCAGGGGCCTCAGGAATTTTAATTTTGTAAAGTTTTTTGTTTTGTTTTTTTTTGCTTGAAATCACCTGTTACCATTTGTTAGTAAAAACTTGTAACTTTTTGCTTCTTAGGAAAATTTTCAACTGTTGACTTGCTCATGATGCAAACTCTGAGAAGCAGCACTCTATTTGTGGAAGAAAGTGCTTTTTTGTATTCTAGTAAACAATCTGTTCGTTTAAAAACATTCTATTTAAAGTAAGCATAAAAACCTTGAGTAAGAGCATGCTATCAGCTGACTCAAATAAATTTTAGTGAATGGACCCCAGCATTTATTGTTTTTTTTAAGGTTGTTTTTCCCATATTCTTGAACTATTTATTTTGATTGAAGTAGGTGTATAAATGATTTCAGTGTTGATACTCCTAGTAGTAATACAGCTGTTACTGTCTCATTATTTAAAATATTTCTATAAATGGGGGCGCTTGGGTGGCTCAGTCGTTGGGCGTCTGCGTTCGGCTCGGATCATGATCCCAGGGTGCTGGGATTGGGCCCCGTGTCGGGCTCCCTGCTCCGCGGAAAGCCTGCTTCTCTCTCTCCCACTCCCCTGCTTGTGTTCCCTTGCTCGCTGTGTCTCTCTCTGTCAAATAAATAAATAAATAAATAAAATCTTAAAAAAAAAATTTCTATAAATGTATTTTAATAAAATATACAAATATAACAATAAGGGAAGAAAATTGAATAAAAAACTAAGTACAGATACACTGAAGATTACAGCCTCATCTATTTTATATCAAGGGATTTGCATTTTGGGGGAAGGAGTAAATCAGCCAAAAGTAGATGATGAGATTAAAGTATATTCCTAGACAGTATATAAGAATACAGGGAATGACTTTGAATATGATATAGAAAATGGGACTTTTACCGAGTGATCTACTTTAATTATAAAACTGCAGTGGTAGCTTCTCCAGTGGAAGATGGAGAAATTTTGTTTCATGGGAAGTTGTGAGTTTCTGTATTTCTAGTGGTATAAAAATTTTTGATTTGAATGAAATGGAAAAGGCTTCATAATACCTTATTCATTTGTTTGTATAGTTAATATATAATCACAGCATTTGTGTGAAAGCCAAGAATTAGATTTCTTTTTTCAACATTTATATATATATATATAAATATTATAACATTTATATATGTATATATATAAATTTTTTAAAAAAAGATTTTATTTCTTTATTTGGCAGAGAGAGAGAGAAAGAGAGAGCACAAGCAGGGGCAGAGGGAGAGGGAGAAGCAGGTTTTCTGCTAAGCAGGGAGCCTGATGCAGGGCTCAATCCCAGGACCCTGGGATCATGACCTGAGCCGAAGGCAGACGCTTAACCGACTGAGCCACCTAGGCTCCCCATTAATATATTTTTTCAAGTAATCTCTATGCCTAATGTGGGGCTCTAACTCTACGACCCCCAAATCAAGAGTTGCACACTCTACCAACTGAGCCAGCCAGTAGCCCCAAATAGATGTATTTTTTAACAAGAGGAAATGAAATTTAATTTCATATGTATGGGGAGCCCCACAGACATAAAATTCCGTAAGTAGAATTCTTTATTTACCCTGTATGTGAATTTTGTCTTTCTGTGTAGAAAGAATCTGCATTCAGGAGGAAATAATCCAGGAGAAGGAAGACCAAGCAGATCAAGATGTGTAGCTCTGTGGCAGCCAAGTTGTGGTTTTTGACAGATCGTCGAATCAGGGAAGACTATCCCCAAAAAGAGATTTTACGAGCATTAAAGACCAAATGTTGTGAGGAGGAATTGGACTTTAGAGCCGTGGTGATGGATGAGGTGGTACTGACAATCGAGCAAGGAAACCTGGGTAAGTCTATACTAAGTAATTTAATGGATTTTTTTCTTAGAATATCTTGAATCCACATTTTTTAGGAATAGTTTGGAGGAAGGAATTATTAGCTTTATTTTACGAAGTATCATCTAATCTTAAAATCTAGCATATGTTTTGGTTTTTTTTTTAAGATTTTGAGAGAGAGCACAAGCCACTTAACCGACTGAGCCACCCAATATTTTGGGCCCCCCAAATCTGTATGTTATGGAAGAAATGGAAACATCAGTATTTATTGAACTTCTTATTATGTAGAAAATAGTTGGGAGAGAAATTAAAGATCTATTTTTCCCCCTGTTATTGCTGTCTAATTTTAAAAGACCTTGTTTATAAAGTGCTCATAAGAGAATTTGTACCTTATGGGGGTCCTTTTTATAAATGCATCAAATTCCACATGTGATTCTTAATTTTCTTTATAAAATATTTCATGCGTATAGTATAAAATGCCAATAGTTTTATTCTTTTTACTGGATAGAAGTGTTATAATGATTTGACTCAATTGGTGATAAGTCTGGTATTTTTAATATTTCATGTTTGTTTTAAGGTTATAAGGGGAAGATATCTTAGAAATATAGAAATTCTTGGGGTGCCTGGGTGGCTCAGGCGCTAAGCGTTTGCCTTCAGCTCAGGTCATGGTCCCAGGGTTCTGGGATTGAGCCCCGCGTCAGGCTCCCTCTCCCACTCCGCCTGCTTGTGTTCTCTCTCTCTCTGTCAAATAAATAAATAAAAAATCTTAAAAAAAAAAAAAAAGAAATAAAATCTTTTGATCTGACTTAGGAGTCTTTACGTCTTTGGAAAATTATGACTTGTTATAGCTAAATTGGTCATTTCTGTTAAGGAGCATCATATGGTGGCATATACATGAAATTTTTAATTAACTTTCAGAAAATACTTCATAGTTTACTGATAGTATTGTATTAAAGTATAAGACAAACACTTAAAATAGATTCTACATAACTTGTTTTGTGTCTAGAATCATAATGAGACCATGTGTTTTAATTTTCTCATCAGTAAAATGGAGAGAGATAGTTATTGTGGGAATTAATATTATTGAGTATGTGAATCTGCTTTTAGGGTAATTTCATTCATACAGTAGTTAATGGATCTAGAATCTTACCTGTAACATGATCCTGTAGTTTAAGTAGGTAGAATCTCTTAGCAGTTACTCTTTTTTTTTTTTTTTTAAAGATTTTATTTATTTATTTGACAGAGAGAGACACAGCGAGAGAGGGAACACAAGCAGGGGGAGTGGGAGAGGGAGAAGCAGGCTTCCCGTGGAGCAGGGAGCCTGATGTGGGGCTCGATCCCAGGACCCTGGGATCATGACCTGAGCCAAAGGCAGACGCTTAACGACTGAGCCACCCAGGTGCCCCTTAGCAGTTGCTCTTTACTCTGCCCTCTTGACATTAATTCATTCTCATTACCTTTCAACAGTTACTGTTTTGTCAGCAGATCTTTAATGTGTAAATTAATGTACCTCAAAGACTTAATAGAAAAACAGAATGATCCCCATTGTAGTATAAATGATCCTCATTGCTAATTTAGGATCAAAAGTTATTATTACTGTAGAAATAACTTCTTTAGAACTGAACTGTTTCTAGATTGTTTCATTTGAGTGTATAAGTAGTAACTACCTTTACAGGAAAGATGCACAGTATTTTATTTTAGTCAAGCTTTCTTTTTTTAATATATACACCTAGATCTAGCACTTAGTTACTCAGATTCTGAGGATTTGGTCTATAGAGCCTGTTCCATTCTTTGATACGTATAATTTAAGTATTTACTGTGTGCTAGTTAATTGGTAGGGTGTGCAGAATGAGACAGGCTGAGATTAACATTAATCAAGTCATCACACAAATAAGTGTAAAATTGTTATAACTTTGGTAAATTATAAAAGTATGGATGTCACTTTGCACCCCCCCGCCCTGCACCTATGACAGATACTCTGATCAAACCAATTAAAATCCCGAATCTAGGGCGCCTGGGTGGCTCAGTTGGTTAAGCTGTCTGAGTCTTAATTTCAGCTCAGGTCCTGATGCTCAGGGTCCTGGGATCCAGCCCCTTTGGACTCTGTGCCTCGGGGGGAGTCTGCTTGAGATTCTCTCCCTCTGCCCCTCCCTCTGCTTGTGCGCACGTGCCCCCCCAATATAAACACACATTTTCTCTCTAAAATAAATAAATAAAATCCAGAATCTATCACATTCTTTTACAATTCACAGTTTTTCAGCATAAGTGCATGTACAAACTGTTGAGATTGGAGTCAGAAATTTGGACACTGTATTGTGTTAGGAGCCATGCTCTTGAAGTATGTGAGAAGAGGCTTAAAGGCCAGTGTGGTACATAGCTCACTAATCACCAGTTTCACAGGCTTATGGTGTATGCTTCTGCGTTTTATTTATTTTTTAAAAAGATGTTATTTATTCATTTGACAGCACAAGTAAGGGGAGCAGCAGTCAGAGGGAGAGGTGTTACTATGTTTTAAAAGTTGGAAAACCAAAGGCTGCATAAACATGTATTGGCAAGGATATAGAGAAATTGGAACCTGCCTACATTGATAAAGGGAATGTACAATGTGGCAGTCTCTTTGGGAAAAAGTTTGGCAGTTCCTCTGAAGGTTGGACATAGAATTACCACAGGATCCATCCCACTCCTGCATACATACCTAAGAAGAGTGACAACATATGTTTGGGAGTCTGTAAGATGGGCTGGTGATAATTGTTCTTTAAATGTTTCGTAGACTTCACCAGTGAAAACACCTGGTGCTGTGCTTTTCCTTGGAGATTTTGGATTACTGGTTCAATATGTCTGTTCTGATTTTTTTATTTCTTATTCAGTCTTACTAGGTTGTATGTTGTTAGGAATTTATCCATTTTTTCCTTGGTTATCCAATTTGTTGTCATATAATTTTTCATAGTCATCTCTTACAATCTCGTTTATTTCTGTGATGTGCATTGTAATATCTCCTTTCATTTTGAATTTTTGTTATTTCAGACCTCTCTTTTTTCCTTAGTCTAACTAAAGGTTTGTCAATTTGTTGATATTTCCAAAAGATAGTGTTGGTTTTTTTCTGTTTTTCTCTTTTCTGTTTAGGTTATTTGTGTAAATTCTCATCTTTTTCTTTTTCTGTTAACTGGGTTTAGTTTGTTCTTCCGCTTGTTTATGGTGTAAGGTTGTTGATTTGAGATTTTTCTTTTTAACGAGCTTTTTTTTTTATGTGCATGCTTATAGCTGTACACTTTCCTTTTAACACTGCTTTCACCACATCCCATAAGTTTTGGTATGTTGTATTTTGCTTTTGTCTGAAGGTATGTCTCATTTCCCTTGTGACATCTTTTGTCTTATTTAAGTGTGTGTTATTTAGGGGTGTCTGGGTGGCTTAGTCCGTTGAGCATCTGACTCTTGGTTTCACCTCAGGTCCTGATATTAGGGTTGTGAGATCGAGTCCTGTATCGGACTCAGTGCTGGGCATGGAGCCTGCTTGAGATTCTCTCTCTTTGGCTCTCCCCACCCCCCTCCAAAAAAAAAAGTGTTATTTAATTTCCAGATATTTGTGAATTGTTTCCTTTTGTTATTAATTTCTAGTTTCGTTTCTAGAAAAGATACTTAGTATGATATCAGTATTCTTAAATTTGTTGAGATTTGCTTTGTGGCTTAAGATGTAATGGATCCTGGAGAAAATTCCATTTGCCCTTGTAGAATGAGGATTGTGTTGTTAGTAGTGTTTTTTATATTTTAGGTCCAGTTGATCTGTAGTGTTTTCCAGTTATTTTGTTTCCTCATTAGATTTTCTGTTTGCTCCATCCATTATTAAAAGTAGGGTGTTTGAATTTTTCATTTATTGTTAGTGTCCGTTTCTCTCTTTGGTCTCTTACTGTTCCATACATGTGGGTGCTGTATTGGGTGCCTGCATATTTATAATTGTTATAATTTCCTGGTGAATTGACTCTTTTATCATAATAATTATCTCTTGTGCCAGTTTTTCTCTTATAGCCTATTTTGTCTTATAAGTAGGGCCACTTCAACTCTCTTTTGGTAACCATTTGCATGAAGTATCTTTTTTTTTTTTTTAAAGATTTTATTTATTTGAAAAAGAGAGAATGAGAGAGAGCACGAGAGGGAAGAGGGTCAGAGGGAGAAGCAGACTCCCCGCTGTGCAGGGAGCCCAATGCGGGGCTCGATCCCGGGACTCCAGGATCATGACCTGAGTCGAAGGCAGTCGCTTAACCAACTGAGCCACCCAGGCGCCCCTGTATGAAGTATCTTTTCTTAGCCTTTCACTTTCAGCCTTTGAGTGTCCTTATATCTAGAGTGAGTCTCTTGTTGATAGCATATAGTTGGGCATTGGTTTTTGGTCCATTTTGTCCCTCTGTGTCTTTTTTTTTTTTATGTAAAGATTTTATTTGACAGAAAGAGAGAGACAGCCAGAGAGGGAACCACAAGCAGGGGGAGCGGAGAGGGAGAGGCAGGCTTCCCGCTGAGCAGGTAGCCCAGTGTGGGGCAAGATCCCAGGACTCTGGGATCATGACCTGAGCCAAAGGCAGATGCTTAACGACTGAGCCACCCAGGCGCCCTAGAATTTTATTTAGAGACAGATTTGGGGAGGGGCAGAGGGAGAGACTCTCTAGCAGACTCCCCACTGAGTGCAGAGAGGGACACAGGGCTCAATTTCAACGACCTATGAGACTACAACCTGAGCAAGACATTTTATCGTTTTCTGTATGTCTTACACCTATTTTGTCTCTTTTCCTCTCTTGTTAACCTTCCTTTCTGTTGTGTTAATTTGTTGTAGTGGCATGCTTTAGTTCCTTATTGTATGTATCTTCTGTAGGTATTTTATTCATCATTACTGTGAAGATTATGTAATACATTGTATACTTTTAATCTCTTTTAGGTGATAAATTTATTCATATATCAACTCTACCCTTATAAATTTCCCCTTATTTTGTGTTAATAATATCACAAATTACATCTTATATTTT